AGTGTTATATTATTTCAAACTGTCATGTACCAGAATATTAAGACAAATATTCATGAAGAAAATAATTAATTTTAGTATTGATAATAAAACTATTATTCGACAAATTATTTGAAATCTTAATTTATAAAATATCAGAAATTAGACCAGGAATATGTCATGTTTTAGATAAAGTGAATGAAAAAACTGGAAAAGCTTAAATAAAATAAAACTTATTTGATCTATTCGTGTAAAAATAAAAATAAATCGTTTTGGTGTTATATTATTTCATACAATTATTGTGTTTTAATTTTATTCGATATTAAAACATTTAATACTTTCATATTTTAAAAATTTACTTGAATATTCTCAACATTCGGATTATTTCCTTTGAGTAAAAATTAGTTTTGTGATTAGAAAAANTTATTCGATATTAAAACATTTAATACTTTCATATTTTAAAAATTTACTTGAATATTCTCAACATTCGGATTATTTCCTTTGAGTAAAAATTAGTTTTGTGATTAGAAAAATTAATTTTGTGATCTGAAATAACTCTATTCAACAAATTTTTATTTGCAATTTTAATTTAATTGACATCTGAAATTAATTTTGTGATCAAAGCTTTGATCACAAAATTACTACTTTTGATCACAAAATTACACAAAACTACTACTTTGATTAAATGCAATAACTTTTAATTAATGAACACGTTTTAGAAAGGTAACAAATACAGTTAATAAGGTAAAAAAGGTTTATTTCGGGGGTCGGGAACGGATTAAAATACCTGAAGTAATTCTTACTTTTTTATTTGATATCTTCGTAGATATTGGTTTATATTTCTACAATTTCGGATTCGTATAAAAATGTAACGGGAAAATTTAGTCGTCTATNATTCCCGAAACGAAAACGATCAGACTTAACAATATGGCCGATGCCAAATTGCACAGAACCTTGCTCACCACTCCTTTTCTCAGTTTTCTAAACATTTTCGGAATTAGATTATAGTTTTTCGAACTAACAACCGTAAATGATCAGTGTAAATCGGTAAAATGTAATTTTATTTTTTTAATAACTATTTTATCCGCTTGTCTTATAGCTGTTATCCTCGCAACGCCCACATTTTTCCCCGACGATGAGAATTTTTTAACTAATTTCCCCCCGTAAAAGTTATGTATCGCCATACTTTCCCCCGCTATGTATAAAGCCGGTAAAGTAAAAGTTAACTTTAACTTACTTGAACATCACGAAACTGCTTAGTGTTAATACGAGTCCCATTATGGAAAGCGCGCACCCCATGTAGGTGAAAATATCCAAGACTACGGCGTGTATCTCTCGCTCCACGTAATCCGGATGTAAATTCTACACCAATTGAAATTGCAGAATTTTCAGTCGTCGTAATATTTGGAAATACATTTTAAAAATACAAATAAATCCATTACGTACCACCAAAACGGCGAAGTTAGTCATGTGATCGCAATGACATACCACTCGACGGGCGGTTCGGTTTGTTATTTCGCAACCCAGATCGGACCAATCTCCCATTTTACGGTTGGCAGAATAATCCCAAAAAACGCACCTCGAACTGTGGGGTATTTGGCCGGGAATCTGAGAGCCGACGAGAACATTATAAGGGTTCGTCTTCCGCGTTATATAGATATATATTATATTATGCGGGATATTTTCCCTTCGGAAGTTTACCGTGAACACTCGAAATGCGATTTCTATTCTTTTGGAAGGCAAACGAACGGGAGCTCCCGTCGGGCGGGCGTACAGAACGTTACTGACTACGGCTCGATCGGTGCGGTGGGTGAAGAACATGGCATCGTTCTCGTATACGACGTAATTAAAAGTGGCGTTAGACGAAGCTTTCTCTTTCGACACGTCCCGAGGGAGACGTATTCTTACTCTATATTCGTCATTTAATAATGTATCCTGGTGTAAACTCTTCACCCGGTTTGTATCCAGGGGTAGAAATATTCCGACTTCCACATTTTCCGAGGTCAGCGGGTGAGACGCAATAATTATGTTTTCGTTACTTGTATTTATAAAAACGTTATTGGCCTCTAGCATACTCTCCAGCGAGGCTGTAATTCTGGAAATCGAGATTAATCTGTTGTCGACACCTTTTGTCTTTTAAAGACAATTGTTTTGTCAAAGACCTTACCTGGAAGAAGCGTTGGTTTTAGTATTTGCCGAGGCCAAAACGGAAGAGTCCATCTTCATTAAATTGTCGATGGTCGAGGCGATTTCTTCGAACGATTCTTGTGGATTCTGAAACGATACATCTGTAATAAAATGTGGCCGAGACGAAGACTGAAAAGTAACACAAGTTCTTACTTGGAAATTTGGTTCGGTGGAAACCTTCTCCAAGCAAGTAGCCACGTAGTGAATGTCGATTGCTCGAATTCGGGGCCACTCGTTTACTAAATTACTTAACTGTTTGGTAACGTTTACGTCATCGCTCTAAAATTTTAAGAAACTAAATAATATTTTAGTAAAGAAAATAATAATTATTTATTTAATTTAAAATATATGCTCTCCACCTCGAATTAGTATTGCAGTGTCTCTCCCCCGTACGTCGTACTTATCCTTTAACAACAGAATTTTGCCAGTAATCTAATCGCTTTCGGGGGGATATCTGAATCGAAATTACATGACTTTTACTTTATATCGAAAGTTAGTATGTAGTTAATCTGGGCGTCCTACCACTAAGGTTTCCATATTTCTAACCCCGTTCTTGAGATTAAACAATGACAGACAGCCAAACAGACTGAGGACAGTGGGAATTTATAAGTTTATAACTTTTTTCAATCTTAAGTTATTTAATTATATCTTTAATTAATTTTCACCAGCCACATTTCTTTCATCGTTCGTATTGATATTTCTAAGATTTTTCCATAAATTTGCACGCGAAGATCGTCTTTGGGTAAAAGTAAGCAACCCGTGCCGAAATACTAAAGCCTGTTTAATCAACTGTAGCTTAATTAGAGTTTGCTCTAACTCCGTCCTCGTATATCCAATTTAAAGATGGATTTGTAAGTGTAAATTTTCAGTTTATCAAAATTATCACACGGGTCTCATCCCGGGTGCGGATGTACTGTATTACTACACTCGATAACAAAGATGCGAATAACCCGGAGTAAGTTTTTATAGAATTTAACTTTATTTTGTCATAGAGAGAAAAAACCAAGCAATCGGGAGGGGATTCAGAAAAGAAAACGAGAGTGGGAGGGATGGGTTCCCACTCCGCGGGAGAATGGGAGAAAGGGAATTCGGCGGGTTGAATTGTCACGAAATTTCTCTCCAATTAAAAAAAATTACTTTTCTTATTTCGAGTAAAATTGGATATTTACAATTATTTATTGTATATAAAATTCTTTAATTTATTGTACTTAAAAAGAAATAAGAATTGGCAGCGCTTACTTACCGTAGATAATTCTTTCAATCGTAGAGTGAGGTCGGACAGTTCTCCCCGGCATTTTCCGTCCACGGGACCCCAATAAGCGCCGTAAGTGAAATTTCCTAAACACCTTCTAACCACGGGATCGCCTCTGTCTAATTATCAAAAAATAATAGCATTTAGTAGCGCTACAACGAGTACGAGAGCGTAAACGTAAGCTTTACCGGTCACGCAGTCTTCTAGGGGTAAAGCGATTTCACCGACATTTTTTCTAGGCCAAGTTACGTTTCTGTCGCCCGCCTCCGTTGTCGTCGTAAAGCAACCGTCTGGAAAGGAAAATTTACGGTTCTTTATCAATTCCGAATTAAATCATTTGTTATTTGGAGGCTTTCGATATAAGATTACGTACGCGTAAAAGTCAAATGCCGTCAATTACTAAACGACCTACCTGTATTTTTAATTCGAATACTTTCCGGCGATATTTTCAATTCCGATAATAAACTGGAACTACGGGTCATTCCGTTCTGCAGTTCGTGTAATAACTTCTCTTTACTTTCGTCCACTTTTGTTTCTCTCTTCTTACTCGAAGAGCGTGTGTAGATGAAAAAGTTTACTTTTATTTTANGACCAGGATTATGATTATTTTTTTTTTTCAAAAGTATTTGTTATATTGAAAAATGATCTTGAAATATTACTGAATTAGTTTCATATGATATAGAATTCTGTTTCAATAAATTATGAAGGTAAGTATTTATTATTAGTATTACTTTAATATGAGTGATTATTAATTTTGAGGCATTTGCAATGCATTACAATAAAAATCTCTGCTTAACACACTATTCAGGGAGCTTAGGCTTGTAGCAGAACATTTGAAAGAGTTCGGTAAACTGATTTTTATAATGAATCTATTTTTTTCTTTTTAATTTAACAGTTAGACATAAAAAATCAACAATACTTGACAATTATTTGCATGGTTTATGTCTATCATATAAAAAACAAATTTTAAGGAATTACAATCAGAGTTTCATTCAAAAAAATTCGTGGATTAAATTTTATAGATGAAAAACATCGGATATAACTGGTTGGATTAAACATAATAATTTACAAAAGTTATTAAATCATTTCGCAATGTATAACGAATTATTTTAATTTAAAGGTGGATACATAGGAAAAAGAAACCTTTTTAAAAACTGGAGCTACAGTTTTTTAGACATCGAACTTCTTCGGTGTCAAACATCAGATAATATTTAAAAAATTGTTATTGCCACAAACATTTTAAAAAAGCATTGTTCTCGTTGCGATATTTAATAAATAAGTAACAAATATAATTTAAATAATTATTATATTAAACTATTTCCCTATTATACTTTGCCTTACTGTTATAATATTATTTTAAGTTGTAGTGTATTATTTTACTTGCGTATTAGAACAAATTGTAAAAATTATTATTGCAAATTAATTTTATAATAATTAAAAAGAATATATTAAACTTTGCTTTATTGTTAAAATAAAATTAATTTAATTCAAATTTATAAAAACATTTAATAATTAATACAGGTTAGATAATAG